ATTATAGAACAAAAACATAAATTGATAATATGAGATTGAAGTTTTCTTTTTTATAACTATTTATATATAAAAATGTAACTTACAACTAATGTAAGATTGCACGAAGCTAATAGACAAAAAAGAGAAGAAAAGAGATCCTTTGCAGAATATTTGCTTTGCATTGGCAAAGAAAAAGAAGTTATTTATTAAGATATAGGAAAAAAAAATACAATCTATATTCTTTAAAGAATTGTTACTTACAAAATTTTTGGTTAGTTAATTAAAAAAATCTATGGCAATATTGCCAACCATGCCAATGATTAGAAATACATTATAGATTACACAATTTTATTTACTATGAATCTATGTATTAATACGCTTAATCTTCAAAGCTTACAAATTTTTTTAATGAAAAAATACAGTTTCTTTTTGCAGATTCAATTTTCTATAATGATAATATAAATAATGTAATTTATCCAATCGAGTGTCTTAATAATTTTTTCATAAAAAAACATGCCAATTCATTCATTAATGTTGAAGATTAGAGCTCTAATAATTGTGTTACAAAATATGGCAAGAAGAATATGCAATAAAAAATAACTTATTGTAGATCCTTTTATCCTATGTATTATTATTTTTAAAGTTATAATTAATGTTCAAGGAAGAAAAAAAGTCTTTATTCTCCAAATAACTTTGAAACTAATTGATGCCAAACTTTTTTTCAAATTATAGGAAAGATATTTTTTAAGTCAACCTCCTTTTTTCCATGACAATTGAGAAATCTCAAGGTCAATCAATCTCTATCTTAGGACTCTATTTGCCAAAGATTGTATTCTTTCATGAAAAATTATATTTTACATTATTAAATATAAAATCCAAATACAGCATTATAATAATTTTTAACAATATTGAATTCTTGAAATATACTACAAATATTGTTTATAATAAAATAGTTAAATATTAATATTTTTATAATTATAAGATATTAAAATTTATTTTTTTATTATTTTTTTATCTGATGAGAAAAGAGGGCTCTAATATAAATATATGTGTGTGTGAGTATATATATATATATATATATACATATATACTCAAAAAAATCAAATATATCTTTAATATAAAAAGGTTATTTTTATTTATTTTTTATATAAATACATTAAAATATTTGTTATACTGCATTTATATAATAATAATAATAATAATAATAATACAAGATAAGCTATTTTAAAAATTAAAAATATTTAATTTCTAATTTAAATTCTTATTTTTAAATTATTCATATACCTAAGATTTTTATATTATATTTTAAAGTAATATTATATTTAGAAAATTAAACCAAAAATTACAATCTATTTTTTTGAATTCTTATATGATCTTTATGAATGTTAAAAAAAGATAAGTAATCACAAATTCTTTTCTTTGATTAATTTTATTAAAATTAAAAAATAAAAAATCTTATTTGGTTGTCTTTACATTTAAAAAATTAAGTCATAGGTCTTAAAGTAAAAAGATAAGAGAAAATACAATTATTTATCATATAGCATGAATAAATTTGTTTCTCAAAATTTGCAATAGGTCTAATCTTAAGAAGTGATGTAACAAAAAGAATTAAGAAGTCATGTCAAATATTACTAAAAATATTTTCATATATAAAAAATAAATTTATATTTTTCATAATTATTAGGATTAAGATGCAAATTGATATGTTTAAACTAATAAAAAATATTATCAAAAATTAAATAAAAAATATTATCAAATATATATATATAATATTTTGTTCATAATAAAATTTACATTAAGTATTTTTACTTAAAACTATTAAATATATATATATATATATATATATATATGTATATGTTGATCTTAAATGAATCTAGAAAAATAAAGGTTCAATTATGGAATGAGCAACAATCTTAATGTATAAAATTCTAATATGAACTAAAATATTTAAATTTGATATCTTGATTTGAAGAATCATAAATTTCAATATATATATAAGTCTAATCTAATTCATACATGTAGGATTTGTTTTAAAAACATTTAAGCCTAAAACTTACAGCAATAAGGATAAAATATAAATAATGAGACAGATGAATTTACATTACTAGTATGTCAAATAATTCTATGTATAAAAAATGCAGGCTATAAAAATGTATCTGTAGATACAAAAAAATATTTTTCTCGATTGATTTTTAAATAAAAGAAAAAAAGAAAAAAGAAACCCAAACTTAATTTTACAAATTTTGAAATTAATGGTTCACATTGAGACAATCTTTTCAACCTAGAAATAGAAAAAAAAAATATTTAAAATAATATGAAAAAACTTAAAACCTAGTAGAAACTTATATGTGGTTTTTAGAAACTTGCAAACATCCCACCTTAATATCTTGTTATTTTAAGAAATTATTGCTAGCTTAGTTGTTGGTTGGTTTAATGATTTTCATGACATCAATTCAATTGAATATTATGTGTTTCATTTAGAGGTATTCAGGTTTAGGATTTCAAAAGCAAACTTGAAATTCATACCATAAATATTGTTCAATTTCGTTATCGAAATTTGTATGAAAAAATTCTTTAGGAAAAATATAATTAGAGGATGACCTAGTTCATTTGAATATTCATTTAGTTTCAATTTCCAAAAGAATTAAAAAAAACATAATACATTGATAGAATATAGGAATAATATTGGCAAGAGTTCATTAAGAATTATATATATATATATATATATATATGCACAATTGTTAGCAGATATCTGAGAATAATTTTTCAAAAGTTTTAAGTAAAAATATAATTAATAATTTTTAAACACTTTATTTTATTTGAATTCTGCACTTTGGTTGTTTGAGTTTTAAAAAAGTAACTGTAAATATGTTGTACCACAATGATCTTGTGATACAGGAATTACTTAAAAAAAAAAAGTCTATATATAGACTCGTATTTGTGTGTTTAAACTGAAACTAAAATGTGGTTGTATTTTCAAAGCATAAAGTTCAATCATTTCATACTACAACTTTGACTATGAAATGGTTAGATCATTTCCACCAAAAACCACATCAAATTGGCTGGATTTCAACAATATATAGTTTTGTCAACAGAGATTCTCTGCTTCTTTTTTTGAGACTTTTACAGTCCTAAAATACCTCAAGAACCATCACTTCTTCCTGTCAAATCCAACACCACTAATTCAAGGTAGCAAACATATTTGATTTAGCATGTAATCAGAACAAGTTTGGATTTCTTTTTGTACAGAAAGAGTGGTGCAATATTAACAAATGTCCACAACAGCATCTATTCAAACCATTTACTCATTATCAATGAATTGTTCACACCACCTGTGCAATTTTGTTCAACATTCAAAACATCATGAACAATAGAACAACATGGAAAAGGAAAAAAGTAGATAGAGAAAGTGTTTCCTTTATCATAGCATCATCCCCAAGCACACATTTCACCAATTTCCCACAAAGATGGTTTATTTTTTGTAATTTTATATTATATTTATATATTTATTGATTTAAACAAAGAGATGTGTACAGAAATAAGGCATAATAAATAAATAAGTGTAAGATTTAACAGGTGAGTTAAAAACATCCAAGTGTTACTGGGTGCTTGCAACCAAAGCTGAGAATGCCCAGTTAAAGTCACTTTCTGAATTTTTTCCAACACTATTGGTGTGGTCTGAATGAGATCCAATGTGGCAAGTGGCAACAGCCCAAGCAACACTAGAAGACTTTTATTATTATTATTATTATTATTTTATTTCTTGAACAGGGACAGGGCTCAGGTCCCTGAATGGACCCAACATCATGGCTGCACACCAAATGATTTTCCATATTGCCATTTTTTTGTTATAAAAAAACAATAGTAACAGAAACAAAAATAAATTAAAAATTAAAAAAAGGGTAGTCAATGGGAACACCCTCCATGGCACACAAGAGGGGCACTGCTGGCTCCATGATTGAAACAATCTCCCAAACAGAAACACACAGTGAAATCACACAGAAAGGAAAAAGGAAAAAGAAAAAGGAAAGGGGAGGAGAACAAGCAAGGAGGGGAACAAGTAGTTCCCCACTCTGTTCCCATGCCAGTCAATCCTGGCGCACACTATTGAATTGCTCACTCACTCAACTGACTCAACTCACTCACTCTCACTCTCTTAAGCACTTTTTCAAGACCAAGCAATGCTTTTTTTTCCCCTTGGTTATACATACATACATACATACATACATACCTTTGGGCATAATGTGAGGGTTTTTACTACTTGCCATGTTGCATGCGTTGAAGGCAACTAACTGCATGATGAAGAGGAAGAAGAGCCCTTGTTCACATTTACAAACATGCAAGAAGGAAAGATGAGTGGTGGTGGTGGTGGTAGTGTTAGTAGATAGATGACTGAGTGAGTACCATGGTTCTCATGCAAAGTAGTAGTGCATGTTGATGATGATTAGATGTTCTACAAGTTTTATGTATGCATGTATGTGCATTAATTATTGGGTGCCCAATTTACCCACAACTAGCAGTGGGCTCACACTGGAACAAGAAAGGGAATGAATGAATGAATGAATGAATGGGGGTGGAAGGGAGAGGGAAAGAGGTTGGGGGGGGGGGAGGGACACACATAGGCAATAAAGAGGTGGTGAACCAACCCAACCAACCAAACAAACTAACCAATAGACAAACAATCAATCAAACAACACAAACAAACAAACCCCCTCCTCCAGGCCTCTCCTCCCCCTCCTTATTCATGCATTCAAGCAAGCAAGCAGGCACCATTCAAGTGACAATATTATCCTACACCCCACCAAAAGCACAACCCCCCCCCTCCCATCCCCTCCTCCTCGCAACAGGGGGGTGCCAGCACATTTCCAGTGACTCTGCCACCTCAGCACCCCGAGGAGGGGATGATGCCAAGTGGAGAGCCATGCGCGTCCACCTGGTTGCTACGCTGCCACTGCCGGAACCACCACCCACCACCACCACCAGGCCCATGAGGTGGAGGGAGGGGAAGTCGCGACAAAGAAGAAGCAGACTGAGAGGGAGAAGGAGAAGAAGAGGCGCCTGCAAGATTTGGTTTTATTCGTCGCAACGGCGTTGTGTTTTTACCATATTTGCCAGAAAACATGCGAGACAGAGAGAGCGAGCGAGAGAGAGAGAGAGAACTGGGATTCGAATCCAATTAGGAACCTCCTCGTCCTCCTCGCGGAGTAGGACAGACTGACGGAAGGACGGACGAAAATGAGTCGGTCGCTGTCTGTCCCGTCCTTTTGTCCTTAAAAGCGATTGCGAGGCGCAGCGTGTCCCGTTAGCCTTCGATTGACCAGTGTGTCTCGTTGCGGGCTTGGCTTGGGCTTGGGCTTGGGCTTGGATTCGATATGTGGCGAAGGCTGTCAGGTTGGCTGCCTCCCTCGCTGTTGCTCTACACACAGATCGGATGATGTTGTTGTTGTTGTTGTTGTTGCTGTTTTGAGGTTTCTGGGGCGCCCTCCCTCGCGTTCGTTATCACCTCGAGGGTGTGTCAGGGTGAGTTTGTGTGGTAGCAAGTTTTATTGTGATGCTTTTCTTCTTCTTCTTCTTCTTCTTCTTCTTCTTCTTTGTGGCAGACACTTTGGATTCGGAACCGGATCTCTGCGCATTGCGACGATTCGTTTTTGTAGTCCTCCGCCTTGAGGGAGCGATCGTGATCTCAGGGTGTGGAGTTGGTTGTAACGTTTCCGGAGGGTGGGAAGGAAAAGGAGAGGAGAGTAGAGTGGTGTAGAGATGAGGGTGCGATCTGTGGTGACGAGAGGATGTCAGTGGCATTATTGGCATGGTGCGGTGGTGATGACTTTAAGGTAATTTAATTGAGGGCGAGCATTTTTGTAGAATGAAGTTATGAAAGGGGGCAGCGGTGGTGGAAGGGTGAGGGTCGTGGTTGGAAGTGTTAGTGAAGGCAATGCGCTGGACATGCGGGATTCCAGGGTTTGAGGATGTAAGGGAGCGGGTTAAAGATTATTGTCGCCTTGAATTGAATGAGGAAGGCAGTGGGCTGCTTGTAGTGTTTTCTTGAGCTTTTGTTTTGTTTACGAGATGGGAAACTAGGTGAGGATTGTCAGAATCTGGCTGGAATTTGTGATAGTGAAATATAATATCGTATGTTTAACTTTTTTTGTTTTGAAATTTGGATAGGTAGGATATTTACAAAAACCATTATGAAAAGTAATTCAGTTAGGATTGTCCAATTCTACGGATGGGAGCATTTCGCAATGTACGTGCTTTTTGCTCACTTGACTCATTCTTTACCTACTGCTTCGCCTCCACATTAGCGCTGACGTATGTTAAAATAAAAGGTTCTTCTGAAGTTGTTGTGTAGATCTCAAACCTCGTGAGCTTCATTTGGAAAATAATTTAGGAACATGGTCATGATTGCGTTGTTGGAGAAACTTGGTCATGAGACTTGAGTTTTCGGAATTTAAAAAATGTGGAATAGATAACTTATCCATATCTGAATTTGTCGTAATGGCAATGTGAGACCCAACCACTTTTCCCTTCACAGGAATTTACCTGTGTACAGATGCGTTTGATCTTTCTAAGACTTCGTGAACACGATACGTATCAATATGAAATCTATCTTAACTATCATTTAAATTGTTTTGGTGTGATCAGGGCACTTGCTTCGCACACCAGGTCGAAGTATTCGTGGCAGCGCTGGGGTGTCTCCGTCATGACATCAATTTCCTGGACAAATATCTTTGCGGAAGTAATTGGGAGTCTGGGATGTGGGGTTCTGTAGTTTATATATAACAGGTCATCATGGGGGCTTACAGTCAAGGTTAGTATCGTGTCTATTCCTGTTTACCTACACGCAAATAGGTGGTTGGCGTGGGAAACTCATAGCGTATCTGATGAGAATTACTATCAAGTGTTCGTGATTTTCTGTTAGCTTCTCCAGCATGCATGTAAAGAAAAATAAGAAAACGCGTCTTCTTTATTCATGGTCTATTCCGTGCGTATCTAGAATTGAATGGGAGTCGGTGCACGCATTCGGAGCTCACGGCATCGGCCAATAATGTTGATTGTGAAACGCCGCGAGGCAGCGGGAGCAAAGCAAAATTTGGAGCCATTCGTGCCATTATTGGTACCTCCAAATTACGTAATTCTCTCAAAAGGCGGCGCGGAGGTGGTTTTCATAGATCGAAAAACTTATCTCTGCCGATCGAAGATGTACGTGATGTGAAGGACCAGCAAGCTGTCGAAGAATTTCGCAGGGATCTTATTACCCGAAATCTACTACCTGAGCTCCATGATGATTACCACGTTCTTTTGAGGTGAGTGCTCCAATATTCACTTCTTGATAGCCTGCTCTCACTTGAATCGAGGCTAGAAACCACGCAAATTGCGTCTGAGTTGGCAGGTATGTTCCTAATTACTGTGGAAAATGTCAAACAAGGTCAATGAAAAGGGTTTTTGATTCTCGTTAGTGAAAATACACATCTAAATTCGAACTTGATTGAAACCGTTTCATTAATATGTGTATAATTTGAGGCCATATAGATTCTGGCAAGAACTGTTTCTCTTCGGCATAGGTGTGAGTCATAGTGACGAGGTGTTGTGAAGCTTTTGATCTACCCATTTAGTATTGTCCTTTTACAATTGGAAGGGTTGCTGTTCAAAAAAGCTTAAATATTACGATTCCATCCATTTCTGTCTTGGAACCCCGAAGGATCGGGTGTTACAGGTGGCTTACTGTCTACGCTCAATGCACTTGTACTGTTGTCTTATCATGAAGCATTATTAAACTCGTTTCATATTTTCAGGTTTATCAAGGCAAGAAAATATGATGTCAAGAAAGCAGCAGAGATGTGGAAAAACATGTTAGCTTGGCGCATGGAGTTTGGGACAGATACAATTGATGAGGTTTGTATTAAATGCTTTTCTATTGACTTGGAGGGTTTGTATGAAACTTGTATTCGTTGTAAGCTCATTTGAATTGTTTGTAGCAACGACTTCGTAAGTTGTTACCTAACTCTGATCTAGCGAATATAACTGCGACATGTTAGTTTAGATGTAATTTATAGGGATGGTCTGGTTATACTGCAATGGCGATTGGCAAGGCACTCCGCATCTAGTCAGTGCGAGTGGTCATCTAAAATCATCATGGTCAAATCTATCAGGAACGTGTATTTGCTGAAAGAGTGTAGTTGGTAGGGTACAAGTACTACTGCTCTTTCAAGGTTTTGGACAATTCTGTAATACTTGTTCATCCGTTCTTCGGTGATACGTGCTTCGACACCAGTACATACTGATTTATGTGAGGGGGCATATATTGTCTCTTTATATCACGATTCTTATTCGCAAGTTGTGATTCGTTCGTTCAGGACTTCAAATTTACAGAAATTGACAAAGTGAGGAATTACTATCCTCAAGGGTATCATGGGGTGGATAAAGAAGGCAGGCCTGTGTACATTGAAAGAATTGGAAAAATCCATGCACAGAATTTGATGGAAGTTACTACACTTGATAGGTATCTGAAATACCACGTACAGGAGTTTGAAAAGCTACTAAACTTGAAGTTTCCAGCATGCTCTGTTGCAGCCAACCGCCACATTGACACCACCACTACCATTCTCGATGTAGCTGGAGTGGTAAATCGTTCACCTGTCGACATAAGAATGCAATGTGATCTCTCGTTCCATTGATTACTCATGTCAAAATAGAAACATAATGATAAAAATATCTTGTTGCCTATAATTTGTATCCGTCATTTTTTAGTTTATTTTAATGAAACAGTTTTCGTAATGCAGGGTCTGAAGAATTTCTGTAAACCTGCCCGAGACTTGATCGTTGCCATTCAGAAAGTTGATAGCGAAAATTATCCCGAGGTACGTGTGCATCCCTGATCTGGAATTTGAGTGTCTTACGTGGCGAACCAGAAGACAAATGAACGACACTAATTTTTTTTTAATGAGTTTGTTGCAATGCAGACGTTGGCGCAGTTATTCATTGTGAATGCCGGACCGGGCTTCAAAATGCTTTGGGGCACTATAAAGGGCTTCCTGGATCCTCATACAGCAGCAAAAATACATGTATAGTGTCTATCATTTGTTACCTCGAGACTTTCCTCATCTTAGGTGAATCTTGAGAATTGTATTGGAAAGTTTAATATTTGAACTCCCACGCGTTTGTTCGATTTGGCTGAGTGATGCACCTATCTAGATTGGATTTATTTTGCATCTGGCGAGCAAGCTCTGTATATGTTGTACTTTGAACATCAATGGACTTTTGATGAACTGAGTTTTTAGTTGTGTGAGTCCTTGTTTTGGCAGGTCATTGGCAATAACTACCAGAAGAAACTGCTGGAGATTGTTGATGAAAGGTAGCAAACCTCAGCAGTGTTGATGTTCTTGGTAGTTTCTTTAGGAAGGTGTGTAGTATGAGATTTAAGTTATTAATCTGTGTGCAATGGTTTGACTTTTCACAAAATCTATTATCTTTTTGTTTTAATCGCTGTATACCTGCTTTTGAGCATTTGCTACCTTAAAGTTGACATTTTATTGACGTTTCACTGACCGTTGGAAGTGTCTGCTTGCAACAGTAATTTGCCTGATTTTCTGGGTGGAACCTGCACATGCCCAGCAGAAGGTGGATGTATGCAGTCTGATATGGGTCCTTGGAAGGATCCGGATATATTGAAGGTAAATTGGCACTACGCTTATTTGCTATTATAGTTCAGGCTTCGACATTCCTTGGTATGACATTATGGTAATGAGAAACTCTAACAAGTTTCCATTGCATGGGTTTTCAGAATCTATGGATCTTGTGTACTTAGCGCAATCCAAGCACACACAACTCATTGTCGCCGCACAACTATGTTGTAATCTGCAGGTTGTATTAGCGGCAGCTCAAGGAAAAGGTGCACGAGATAGCGTCTCTTCTGCAACAGATTTTGCTGATTCTTGTCGATTTGAGGACATAAAGAGGGTATTACCACACTCAAAGCATGTAATCTGTCTCTTCGTTGGTAGTTTGCTTTATGATTATTTCAGCACGTATTGAGGCAGGACATGATATACATGAAAGGATATGGCCAGTGTAAGAAATGGATTTAGGTCGATGAAGATCTTGCTCAATATCCTGCTATTTCTCGGTTGATCTTACTTCCAAGAATTGCATTGATGTTAATAATGTGGTGATTTAGAGTGAGCTGCTTCTCGAGTCATAGATTCTCTATGTTACTTGGTCGCGAAGTTTGAGGTTGCTTGTTGATGTTTAGGAAGTTGGGCATGAAGTTGACGAAGCACATGAAGATTTTTTCGCAGATGTAGGGGAGAAGAGTGTGACTCATCCTAATCTTAAAGTGTCACCTGTGAAAGAACAGGTATGCCTACATTCCACTTTGAAGTCTTGGGAACTCAATGTTTGAGACATAGGTTTGCACTATCGCTTTCTTTTTCTTCTGTATATAAGTTTGTGTGTGTGTGTGTGTGTGGCAAAGTGAAACAATTTGTTGATTGTTGTTTGCAGAGATTAGGGAATGGAGAACCCACCGGTGGATTTAGTAGAAAGGATGAGAGTCCAACTTTTAACGGTATCATCTTTGCTCCTGTTTATTCCGAGTTAGGATTGTTGACTTGATTTTTGAAAAAGAATCTTTGGATGTGAAGTTGGCGGTAGTAACCCGGATTGTTGTTTGAGTTTGATCGGGATGCAGGAACTTCTGGACTTGTATGGACGACAGGCACAAGCGCTTGGTCAACGTTGTGGTCTCTGTTCTTGGCCGTCCTGGATTGTTTGAGTCTACCTTACCGCCTAGTATCAAGCAAGTCACAAGTGAAGGATTCACAGGACTGGATGAAGGCAGACGAGTTTGCGAGATTATCCTGTCTTATTTCCAATCGTGTGGCACGGCTTGAGGGTGAAGTCACCATGTTATCCTCAACGTGTAGTTTGGCCAGTAAGAAACATACTGTGGATCCCTCTGCAGAGAGGATCAAATGTCTTGAAGCAGAGCTTGCAGAAACAAAAAAGGTTAGATTTGTTTACATGTTGATTGTACTTGTTAGAGTGTTCTTTCTTCTTAATGAGGCTCCAATTTTTGTGCACGAAGCAATTAATATGTGGTTGGCAATTTTTTAAGTAAATCCCGGTACTTCATGAATGCCCATTCAGGACATCAAGGAGATAATTGCGAAGCAACAGGACCTTATAGTAGCAATTGAACAAATGGGAGAGTACCGGAAGATGGTAAGGATTTTGTAATACAGCAGATTTCTTTGTCCTTTATTCACAAGTTCTGATTTCAAAAGGCTTGACCAACAATCATCCTACTTTCATGTGTCTATAAGATTTTAACGACCATGGCCAGGCCGGTGATATGTGTACACTAACTTACATTTACTGGGTGCCTTTTAGAAACAGAAGCCAATCTTCTATTGTTGGTGATTTCGCAACTCTTCTGCACCTACAATACAACGGTTTTATCTACTATGAGCATACGATGTTGCGGATTGCATGTGTCCTTTCAATCGTTTGCAGCCAACCTGGAGCAACCACAAGTTGTTCGTTGTTGATTTGAAGAAGCAGCCAACTGCTCGAATACAGTAAGAGTCTGACAGTAGACTCAATCAGCACTATAGAAGAGAATATTGTTGCTGTTTCAGGTAATGAAGTAGCCACAGCAGTTATATGCTTTGAAGAACTGTCGATCACATGGCTGCGTCGATGGGCTACCGCATTCAGTTCCACTACCATGGCTTTATCCACTGGTCTATGTGGACTCGCATAGACTCCTGGGTTTACTGAAAATATTTTTAAAGTAGCCTGATACTGGGCAGGTGAAAGTGAATTATCTGCATCGAGCAGAATAGAAATAATTTACACTAGTACGTGACTCTTTGGAAGTTCCCAATGTGGCTCTTGATTTACAACCAATAGCCCTTGCTTTAACAGGGGGTATTACTCCATTCTCTTGACTCAGCTCGTGATTTCGTAGAAATTAGTGCACACGCATTTCACAGCACTTATATCATTTCTGTAAATTTAACCATCACTTTACAGGTGAGTATGAATATATATATATATATATATATATATATATTCATGATGCCTGCAAGAGTGCTAATTCTGTAGTATTTAAGGTATTAATTACTTTGTGAAATTTGGGCCCACCTCCAATGTCGAATGTACGTAAATAGGCAATGCCCAACGCGAATCACTGAACTTAATCGGTAGCTTGCAAATCTATTTCTTGATTGCGGTTGTGCATGCAGGGTTAGTAAGCAATTTGTACTAACAATCAAGAAGCTAATAAAGTTGATGCATTGCACATCACTTGATATTGACAAGGGTCTAATCTAACTAAATTCAGTGGTATGTATTTAGGTATGTTGGCTGTAAAACATGTTTCACCAGATATGCATGTCATTGGCTATATCCATCCACTAGCAGCTTGATTAATCATCATTGCTACGTTCTTTTGGCTAATTATTGTTGACAAAATCGAAAACAAAGAGTGCAGTATCTACTTTTTATAATTTACTCTTGTTATTAAACGCAACGCTTAATATTACTATAATGCAATTCTGCAATAAAATAATAACACTTTAATTTATTAATCAAAATGTCAACAGTAATAATTAGGTTGTTACTGAAAGGGAAACGATATATGAAATATATGTGCAACCCTTTTGTTTTGCACATTTCCATCAAAAATTTACAATTATCAACAAAATTTACAACAAAACAAGTATACATCAATGTTTTGTTAAAAAAATGTTAAATCATGTACAAATAAATTCTATTCTTGTCACAAGATTTAATAGTTACAGCCAGGAAACTTTACAAATGTAATTTTTTGACCTTACCAACTATAATGAAACCATTTAAGATGTAATCTGTTCAATGCATATTTTGGTTTTGAATAAATGTCTTAATATTTTTGGACATTAAACCGCAAAATATGTCAATCTTGTGCATCTTTATTGTTGTTTGTAGTAATATATATTATATTTCAATTATATATTATTTCATAGAACTATAATACTCTTTACAACTTTATTTAGTGTTACAAGTAAACAAAGCTTGATGAATCTGATGAATAGTATTGAAAAAAAAAAAAAAAAAAGAATAAATGTTCTCTCAATGGTCTTTAAAAGCTTGATGATATCTTACACAAAGTGATAATTTCCTTATGATGCTACCAAAGAACTAAGAAGTATCTTCGAAGTCACTTAGTAATAACTATAGTACCTAACAAAAATTCCTGAAATATAGAATTTCTTATATTAATTTACGTATATAATTTTTATGTTGACTAAAAAACCATGCTTATATAAAGACTATTGTTTTAATAGAATAATTATTTGGAAAATGTTTTTCAAAAACATTTTATTTCAAGATGACTAATTTTTTTGGAATAAAGTTTTACTATTATAATAATTTATTTTCACACAATATATTCTTAGTAATTGCACAAATTTTATATTATCTTATCATTTTTAATATCAGACTTTAAGTTTTTTTTAAAAAAATTGCATTAGATTCAATTATTATATGATCAAGATTTGATTAATTGTTTCCAATCATGTTTCTTATTTTTAATGAAATATAGTGGTCTTAACTTACATAAATATAACAATCACAAAGATGTTTTTAAAATAGTTACATAAAACTATATATATATATATATATATATATATATAAAAAAAAAAAAATTATTTGTGTTATAGAATGGTAAGAACTAAGAAAACAAAAAAAAAATCTTTTTAGATAATATTTATATAGGTTTCTTATCTTTCTTTGTAAAATTGTACTTTTCACAAATTAAAAACATAAAAATTATATTGTAACAAAAAGCCATCTTATCCCTTCTATGCAATTCAACTAAACACTACTAAATATATTGTCTTTTAAAGCAAGACTAAAGCCATCTTCAAAAAATTACCTTATATATTATTGACAAATACTTTCTAATATTTAAATTATAATAAAATATAATACTAAATGAGTTATTTTATTTTTAGACAATTTAATAATTTTTTATATTATTTTAATTTTTTTATTAATGACTATTTGAAATTCTATTCAATATAAAGCTAATAAAAAATTCACCATCTATATTTGATAAAAATAAATAAAACTTTCACAAAATATTTTAAAACTTCTAATTTGGATTATCTTAAAAATAAAATAGAATAAAAATATAACAAACTATAAAAATATCTCTAAAAAAATTAAGTATAGTTAATATTTCTCAATCATTCTTGTTTTTCATAACCTCCATCATCTATACTTCACCAAACTTAATCAATAACCACCTACTAAATGAACATGAATAAAAAAATTACATATACATATCAAAGACCTTAATTCAAGTTATCATTGATTAAACACCAATTATGTTGTGAATATAATTGATACCATATATATATATATAGATATAGATATATTTTCTAGTGTTATCTCTTTGCATAATGTATAAGTTTGTATAGTATATGGGATCATAGGCTCATGGCAACCTAGAGATAGCTTTGTAGCAAATTTCTCATGATGGAAAGATAGGCAAGTAGAAGGCTTCTTTGCTTTGTGCAAGCTCACTCTTAATCAAGTACTATAGAGAAGTTTGGCACTCTTGTGGCAACTCTTAGTTTTGTCACAATTTCTCTATTTACCTTTAATTCTATAATATATTGTTAATTAATATATTGTTAACTAATATATTGTTAACTAATAAAGATACTAATATATTGTTAACTAGTAGTTTTAAAAAACAATGACTGTGACATAAAAAACAACTTAGACATTTATATTTGATATGTTTAAAGTATTGCAAACAATACTATAATATAACATCTACTCATTAATCACCTAATATACTCAGGTTGCAATAATATTTAATTAAATATGACAAGAAATATTATTATACAGTTTCAAAGATGTGTTAGATGAATATACTCTAGAAATTTAAAAAGAAATCTAAAGATCACTCTTTAATTACAAAACAAAGTAGAGCATGAATTCTTTTTGAATATTATTACCATTAAATATATAACAATTCTTTAATTTCTTGTCTACTAAGATCTATCTTTGTTTGTTTGAAAAAATATCTTTCTTGTCTTAAATCTTTGTCTCCATATTATCAATAGTATCAAAGCCCTTAACATTAAGAATAATCTTCTTCTTTAGCATCTTTATAAAAAATTGTATACCACCTCTCAATTAGAGCACAAAGTGTAAGGTAGATTCCTTCCACATATTGTAGTTGGTCAATAGACATACATCTTCTAATTGCTTGCATAAAAAGATTAGCCTCACTTGATTTGAAAGAATTTCTTTATAAAGATCTCCATATTGTATTAATCAATCAACTTCAACTTTTTTAAAATTTAAACTAAAATCACTCACACTCTTTGACAAACTTGAGCCCATTCTTAAAACAAATATTCTACAATGTCTTCCAACCTCTCCAAAGATACAATGTCTTTGCAGTTTTTTATAAGAATTACTTCATTAGTAGTCCTTACTTGTATAAATAATCTACATTGAATAAACTTATGCCAATATGCATCTAAACTATTGTTAGACATATGTCAAAAACCATATATTAGTTGCTTACTACTATAATTTTATTGACAAAATATTAATCAATATATCCTTGCACCATTTCTATTTGTGCACTTTAAGTTCTAATCTCTCCAATTAACATCTTATATGTAATATGACAAGCTTAAGGACAAATTTGTAATTTTCATAAAAGTAAAGGATATATTTGCTATTATTAAGAATACAAGGATATTCTTAATATTTCAACATATTTTAGGAGTATGTGTGATAATTTTCGTTAGAAATAATTGTCATCAATATGTTTACAATAGTCTCTACTCATAATAGAGGATTTTAAGAAATAATTATCATCAATATGCTTACAATAGTCTCTAAACAAAATAGAGGGTTTTAAGGAAAAATTCTATCTTTATTGAAACAATACCAATGGTGCGCCAATTTATTACAAGAAATATGAATTTGAGGCAACTCAAAATTTATTGAATCCACTATTAGTATTGAAGTTTTCAAATTCTCTCTAGTATAAGCCTTAGAATCAATAAGCAGTCTCTTACTCTATCAACAACCTCACTTTGACCAATGATTGGAACCTAGAATCAATAAGCAATCTCTTACTCTATCAACAACCTCACTTTGACCAATGATTGGAACCTAATAAGTTAATAAAGTTAAGACTAATATGTTTTCAATTTAGAGTAGAATTAAAGGTTTTAAACATATCTATAAAAGTTATATTACATACAAGATGTTAATATTATTCCCATTTTAGCCAAAACACACAGTGTGTGTACTTAGGGTTTGAAATCTGAATCTGTCCAGCTCGTATCATCCATGTTCTTTGGAAATTTGGGTTCTTTCTCTTTCTTCGGCAGTCTCAGTGCGCAATTTTGTGTCGTGGTGCAATTTGAGAACGTAGATAAAAATGTGGTTGAGGCTCGGGGCTCTAGGATTCAGGCTAGGATTTCTCTTTGATAGCCGCAGGGTCTTGACTTACAATGGATGATTCAAGATTCTACCCACTGCATGTCGTGTGGAATTTTTTTGTATGAAGGGTTTAGTCTGCCAACTGCGTGCAAGTTCTTTGAGATTTCAATCTCGCGTTGGATTGTTCGGACACATGCTCTCACAGTGAAGAAACTCGATTTGAGAACAGTTTAATGTGCCTTGCTTTCAATACGCAGAAGAAGAATTTTTCTGTCATGAAACATCTAGATGATTATTTAAAGTACAAACTTTTGTGTATGAATCATACTATCGATGCCTTGTGTTGCTGAAACTTTGTATAAACTTAAGTCTGTTGACTATAGGTTTATTTGTGGATTTTCAAAGAGCTGAAGCGGGTACCACTTTTCTCCGAGTTGACTGCTGCTGAGTACCTATGCTTTCAGCATACTTCCAACATGATATACATCTCGAATTCATCCTCCCACTGTGTTAATATTTGATTGCTCAAGACACCAATGTGAGGAAATCTATATTCAGATACTTTGACCATGCAAAATCATGGCAGAGAGTGCGTCGGAGTCACGTTTGTCTCCCTACTGCACTGAAATAGAGCTGATTGAGGAAACTAGAAATTTTTGTTCTCTAATATCAAAGTCCTAAGAAAGGAAGAAATAAGAGGTTGAGGATGCGCATGAGACCCCTCAGCTATAACAATTAAAACCACGAAGTGAAAAATAAATAAATAATGTTCTCCAACTTATGACAAATTTATTTCTGGGGTTCATTACCAGCATGACAAAAATTGATTTTGTCTGGCATGCCTTCCATTACTTGATCGGAGAGCAGCCCAGTATCGAGGTTTGCTCATTCCTCGGCATATCTGAAAGATTTTAATGGCAAATAAGGGGGCTGGTAAATGTAGGATTGCCGGCTATGATCGTTGGCTCATTCTTTGCTCGTGGACTGACGATAATCTTCGTGCAGTGCATTTTGGATTTATACATTTGAACATTGCGTAAGTAGCCATCAGGATGGCGCAATCTGTATGGGTGGTGTGGGTTGTATGGGATTTGTATGGCGGATCTGGTAAGTTGAGAGCAAGGTGCTTGCAAAATAAGTTCGCTAACTTGGGGCAAAATATCTAAGTAGACTAGTGAGGTTACTCTGCTTCCTTGAAAGTGTTAACATGAATGTGTTGGATGGTTTAAAGTTATTCTTCAATAGTTCTCAACTTTGCATCATGTACCTTGTTGAAATCATCCTTGCTGAAGTCATTTCCCAAAAAGTTCATGAGATTTACAATGGCCATTAATCCATAAGTGTTTATTGAAACAAATTCCATCCAAAAAAATTGATGTATTCTTCAGAATTTCAACATGCAAGGACTACAAAAGATTAGCAACTGCATTCTTTGGATAACTATATGTGAAATATGAGGTGCTTACAGTTAAAAGTCCTACCAACACTGTCTCACTTATTTGTTTAAAAACTTGTCAATCATCAGATTGCAGATTAAAACTTCATTAAATGATTCCATCCACAATGAAACTCAAAACCTACTCCTCATCCACTCTCTTCCTCCCTATCCATATTATGTAAATTTATTACCGTCCATGTAGCAATCAATCCAATCTTAGTTAAGGGATATGTAACCATTCAGGCGTCTTTATAATTAACGAAGACAATGAGCCTGCTCTTACTTGATCCTTATTCTCATCAAATTCCTCATGTTTGTTGAGGATTCTTACTTCTTAAGTAAAGCTGCCAACTCATTGTTGCAACCCCCTTAATATTGCTCTCTCCTTCTGTATTATTGATCCCTCCGCCCGTGCTTGCGATAATTCCCATCTACACCATAAACATAGTCGCTACTCCCAATTCACACTACATCCTCTTTGCTGCTTACCTGGGACAAGCTTACAAGGATAACGTTGTGTCATATGTATTAATAATACACACATTCATATATATATATATACATGCTTGTACAATCAGCAGAAGGCAAAGCCAATACCAACAACAAGGTAACAAAACATACACTTATCAGCATGACATGGGATCAACGTCACACCATCTCAATCACCACAACGTTCCTCTGCCCAAATAATAGTCACCACAATGACCCAACATCCACCATCAACCCCATCAGTGCAACATCATCACCATCTCTTCAGAGAGAAGTTTAGCAATTTATTTCCTTTTTTTTCTTTTTTCTTTATTTTTCTTTAATATTGTTTTGTTTTGTTTTGTTTGTTTTTATTTTTATTTTTATTTTTATTTTCTCCACTTGCAACTCTAAATGTTTGTTGATACACCATACTCAACCATGCCAATTCCTCCCGAAGAAGGACCAAATTTACATACAAACAGTGACACACTTGATAATCCAATTTAAATACCAGTATTGTCTCACATCTACCCCCCACCAGTGGCCTCCAATCCTAACACCTGCTTATACCTACCGATCTCTGTCTCTCTCGCTCTCGCTCGCTCGCTGTTTAAGTTGTTGGTCCTCTTTGCTTCTCTCGCCAGTTCTCCCCCCAGACCCGAGCTTCTGCCACTGCCCGTTCACGTTCACGCGTAGGAATATGTGGCTTCACCCCATCTCTTGCTGTTCCTGTCCTCCTCACAGCTCTAGGACTGTCTCGCCCTCCCTCCTCGCGCCTCACGGACTCCTCTGATTCTCGCATCTTCCCTAATTCTGACCCTTGTGATTCCTCCAACACCCCGTTTGCCACCCGAGCTCGAGCCCCTCCCCTCTTCACCCGCAAGTCTGGTGACTGCATTGCTACCTTACCCACCTTCTGCTCCTTCACCATCCGCTCCTCAGCTCCATTTGGACCCAGTGGGACTTTCTTCTCCTTCTCCCGCTTCTCTCCGGATGGTGTTGCTGGTGCAAACCGTGACGATCCTTGTGGTTGAACCCCCGGATCGTAAGTTTGCGAAGCTAAATAGCTCAATGCCGTCACTACATCCCCTATCAAAGGCCGCGTTGCCGCTTGCTCTTGCAAGCACATTGCAGCCACCGCCAAGGCTTGGTATAACCCTCGCATTGGATATCGCCCCTGCAACAATGGATCCGCCATAAAGGGAAACTTCCTCCTGTCCTTGAACAAAGGCCGGGCCTGCACCACCACCCATCCCAAACCAGCCAAGCGTCACGTTTCCAACTCTAGCACACGGCGATCGACAACTCCCCGATCACTCTTGGATCATGCCAACCCCCACACAACCCTAACTCTACTTCACGTGCCCACTCAAACCGCATCCACGCCGACACCCGTATCACCAAGACCACATTCTTCATCACTACCTCTTCACACTATCACTACTCAACTTAGCACACCATCTCAAAAGCCCCTACACTCTACTCATCCCACACCTTCAATCACACCCACAATTACGTGTACGCAAAACAATCATAGCATTGCCATTATCTCCACCCCACATCCGCAGTGCCTCCATGCAAATACTCAAAACCCACCCCAAGCTCTACGCCTCACAAAACCTCCTAATTCACCCACATCACACGCACACACACACAGGGAAACTAGTACCACGCTCCAATCAGCCTCCCACTCATCCACCGCAGCCCACTTACCCATGCCACCAGGTTTTGCTCCCCGACCGCCCGGGCATTGTCAATCGCTTTCCGCCCCGTGATCAGCTCCAGCAGCACCACGCCAAAACTGTACACGTCCGACTTCAACGTCAGCTGCCCCGTCATCGCGTACTCCGGAGCGCAATACCCGTAGGTTCCCATCACCCGTGTCGACACATGCGTCTTGTCCCCCACAGGACCTAGCTTCGCCAGCCCGAAGTCCGACAGCTTCGGGTGGAACTTCTCGTCCAGCAATATGTTCGAACTCTTAAAGTCCCGATAAATTACAGATGGTTGGGCCTTGTCGTGTAGGTATTCCAGACCCCGAGCTGCTCCAGCCGCGATCTTCATCCGAGTATTCCAGTCCAGACATTCCTTGTCCTGAGGCAGATCTGCAAAACCCACAATCGTCCCAGCAAACCGCATCAACAACCAATTCAAGAACCTGCCAACCCCTATCACAATCCCACAATCCACTCCGTTGCACTTACCATGCAGATGGTCTTCCAAGCACCCCAACGGCATGAACTCGTACACCAGCAGCCGCTGATCGCCCTCGGCGCAGTAACCAATCAGATTTACAAGATTCGTATGATGCAATAGACTCAGCATCAACACTTCTACCAGAAACTCTCGGTTTCCTTGCAGCCCGCTCCGATCCAGCTGCTTTACGGCCACCACCTGCACCCACCAACTCCGACCCCCTCAGCCAAAATCCTCCGCATCTCTTTAGCTTTGCTACCTGCATACGAATTCCCCACCTCATACCCGTTCCGTCTCACTAGATATTGCACCTCCAAAACCATCACGCCCGCTTATCTCGCCCACCATTCCCTCCCAATCAATTGCATCCCATTCCACTCCAATCACAAAACCACTTCCCCTCACTTGCCTGCCCCGTACTCTCCAGCCGTCCCTTGTACACGCGACCGAAGCCCCCCTCGCCCAGCAGACAATCTGCTCTGAAATTCTTCGTTGCCGCAACTAGCTCCCGAAACGTGAAAGTCTGCGCGTTGATGTGTGTGTTCCCCTCGCGCACCGGCTCCTTCTTGTCTACTGACTCCTTCGTGACGCCCCTCTTCGAATTACCTGGAATTTTCAGCGACGCCACAATAACCTAAAATGAATCAGCATTACGCCCAACAGTAGCTTAATTGCAATACCCCACGCACGCACGCAACCGGAATTAGACCATCTCCTCCTCATCCGCAGACCCATCAGCTTACCAAACACGAACACGCACATTGAACTACCGCTCCTTTCCTTCCCTGCCTCGCAGCTCGCAAGGGAGCTGGCAAGCCCTACGGTATTGCCTCCCCACTCTCCCTCTCCACCCATTCCGTCGCCCTAGCCAGATGTACACTTGCCTTTCCTGCTCCTCACCCGCCTCGAAAGCTCAAACTTTCATTCCCCCAGGCCCCGCATTCGCTCTCAAACCCCTCACCATTCACTCCCATCACTTAAGGCCCTCCGCCACTCTAGTGTGCCCACCGGGGCCTCCACACGCAGCTGCATCCGAACTTTGCAGTGACGATTACTAGCGCCACCCCCCTCAATGCCGCAGTCCATCAGTCCCTATCCAACCGTCCCTTGATCCGCCATAACCCTGACCTTAATCACTGGGGTCGTGCTTCACCGGACCAACATGCGACATACCGACTAAGCAATCATCTTACCGACTTTACAACCAAACTCTTACCACTCACATTCCAAATGCACACACACGTACCGGAGGAAAGCTTGGGGATTTGCGCGACGGGGTTATCAGCAGGCGATTGCCCATTACGGCTGCTGTTGTTGTCTTCCTTTTTCAGCGACTTCCCCTCCTTTGGTTTAGAATCCAAGCATGGAAAACAGCCCATCTCTATACACGTCCTATGTCTCGAAGACTAATCACAGCGTCTCGCTACCGCACGGCCCTGGCCCTACTCTGTCACCCGCGTGGGCGCCTGCCGCATCTGGATGCCTACGCCACTTGCCCCAGAGACTGTGGCCCGCCTCCTCCTCACATGCCTCTCCTGCACCCGCACCTCAAGTGTGCTCCTCCTCCTCCTCCTCCTCCACGCCTACTTCGACCTCGCCCTCCACCTCACCGGCAATTGCTGTGCCGTCGCAGCTATTTCAGTCAGAGCAATCCTCGGCTCCTACTATAATTCCCAAAAACCATGGCCAGATCCAGCTGCCCTCCGCCTCTTCCTCATTCGCTCCCTCCCCACGACCAAACTCAAATCACCGATGCCCTACGACACGCGAACATCGAAGAAGTGGTTCCCGCTCCCGCCCGTGACACACCCACACAGCCCACGATTTGATCGCCACCTCCACTCCCCACCAGTATCACCCACCTCTCCCCCGATCTCACAAAACCCGATCCTATCTCCCAACTCTACATCCACGCGCACACGCAATAATCGAGACTAATGCCGCTGCAACCGAACGACCAGACCCACTACACCAACACTGCCGCTACTCTGGTACGAGCGGTACCAATGAAATTCATAGGAGAGTGGGGTCCTCCCACAGTGCCTGCGTGCTTAGCCGTGCTGAAACTGAGAGAGAGAGAGAAAAAAAAAAAAAAAAAAAAAAAAAACAAAACAAAAAACTTACAAAGTAGCACAGCAACTCCAATCTGTCTCTCTCTCTCTCTCTCTCTCTCTCTCTCTCGCTCTCCTTCTCAGTGTGCGTGCACAGCCCTCTTGCCTTGTCCCTTTCTAACACATCATCCTACTGTTGCTGTGTGCAAGCAAGCAAGTGGATGTGGGTGTGTGTGTTTCACGCGGTGAAGCTCCAGCTTGTGACTAGGCCAGGGCCAGCAGAGAGAGGGAGAGAGAGCGAGAGAGAGGTGGCGCGGGAGTGTGCGTGATCGGGTGACGGCAGGGCAAGGGATGATGATGCTGCTGGCTGTGGATGGATATGTAGTAGTGGTCAGTAGTATGTAGTGAGTACTAGTAGTATGTAGTAGTAAGTAGTGAGTAGTAGTGAGTGTGTGTACACACCTGGCCACCCTGTCACAGTAGGGCTTGCTTGCTTGCTTGCTTGCTTGCTTGACTGGCATAATGGCACATGTCTTCCGCTTCTTTGTTGGGGAAGAGGGAGGGCTGCCCCTTCGTCACACCCACATCCATCCATCCATGGTCTCATCCATTCATCAATTCATCCATTCCACCCGACATTATTGAGGGGGGGGTCTTTACTCGTGAAGCTTCGTTCATGGCAGCAAAACCTTCTGGTGTCATTAAGTAATGAGGATTGGGGTGCTTGTGTTGTATGGTACTAATTATGAAATAGTCTTTACTTTTTAATGAGTGCTTGTATGAGTGAGGATTTTGTAGTTTGTTTATATACAGTTCAAAATAAATAAAGATTTATTTATTTATTTATGCATGAGACTATGGAAACATATTGAAGGCTACTGCTGTGTTAATCATGACCTTGCTTGTGCGTAAAAGAATATATGATGCTATCATGGAAGTTTCTATTATAGATATTTGATCTTTGAAGGAAAGCTATTGATTTTTACATACATTGCTATAGCTTTTTTGAATTTTGAAACATGTAGTTAATTTTGGAACTTAATAAATCTGGTGATAATTTTTGTAGTCAATTATTACTACAGTATAATGTCATTACATACTATGAAACATGTACATTGGTTTTGAATTTGACCATTATGATCATTGTAGAAAAGAAAAGACTTTAACTGTATGCTTAACAAAAATTACTCATACATGTTGAATTGATTTATATATATATTTATATTTATTTATTACTGGAAATAAAAATACATTCTATAAGCTTTTTACAAATTTTTGAATAACATTTGAGATATGATATATATATATATATATATATGCATATTTATATTTATATTTATATAATGAGGATTTAAACAATAGATTTAGAATAATTTTTCTAAAGATTCCAAATTACAAGTTAGGCATAATTGTTTGCAATATTTGTTCAAATTATATAGACCAATAGATGAACTTAATTATTTCAAAAAGTAAACTTCTGTGTGCAGTGAAGGAAGTTCTTTCAGAAACTTTTGGCACTAAATAATCAATAAAGAAAATTCCAGAAACACATAAGGTGATCTATGCATACGTACATACAAAAAGAATGAAGATTATACATTCAAACACAACCATCTTACTTTACAATAGAAGTTGAAAAGAATTGTAAGGTTCACAAGCATATATAGGAAAGGATATACCTCAAAATAACTATAAATGCATGAATAAATAGAAAACTTTAAAAGATGGCATAAATTCATTTAGAGTTTTACAATTGATTAATATGAATGAATATTTTTGTATCTTGATTTTTGGTGATTTGGTGACTTATTGTGTACATATGTATTCTCAATAGCTATTAAAAATCTAGAACTTTCTAAAAGCAAATAATTTAGTCTTTTAGTACTTTGTGCTTAGATTTATAGTCATCACTCCATACTATATCTTGATAAGAATTATTTTATACAATGTATTAAACATGGACTTTGGTATTTTTTGAAAATTCATACAAAAATTCAAAAAAACAAAATCAATTCTAGTAATCATCAATACCAAATCACCAAAAATCAAAATCAAAATCGTAGATTCTTACTGTCACAATTTTGATCCTTATATTGTCCTAGGAAGACATGGATAGTACCTCCTTCCTTATCAAACATTGCTAATAAACTTATATTAACTTTAAGCACAACTTACTCTTCATAATTTGAGATAAGAATATTCTTTGGTGTCAATCTAATCTTCATCCTTATGGTGTTACTGCTATTAATGAAGTATTGACTACTTATTTTGAATGCTGTAGGCTATGAAACAATTATACTTGTATTTATTTTTTTATATCAAATTGAGATTGGAAAAAGTTGTCACAATACCATCTTATCGAATATTATCTAATATAAGAACTTAAAGAATGTAAATAAATAAATAAAATATTTTTAAAAATAAGATGATAAAAAATAATGGATATTCAAGAAGAAATTAGAATAGATATTGCTAAAGACAAAGAAACTAAAAATCCTTGAAACTAGATTAGAACTTAAAAAAAGAAGTTGAGAAGAGTGAAGAAGGCTTTACTCTTACTTCTATATATATTATTTAACTAAGAGCTATGTAACAACATTCTATGGAACCTCCAACATCTATCCAACTTATAGGACATGTGTTTAATTTGCAAAACTAGCATTCTATATATGTGCCACATGTCTGATTTCTACCACAAGTAGCCAACTTGTTGGTCTAATTTTCAACATACTAATCATCTATAAACATATATAAAAGCAAAGCCAAGTCTATGAAGCTTTCTTTGACCTTCTATTTATAATGTGCTATATTATTTTAAAATCTTTTGGTATGTTCTTTTTATGTTGTTCTCATTAGTACCTAAGATGACAAAAGTCTTGATTGTAATTAACTAAGCATTTTTGTGGCTATCATTTCTTTGCTACCTTTTAATTTAATCTTTTCTATGTATGTTGTTAAATCTTCCTAATAAGCTTCAATAATTTGTTATATCTTGTTATATTTTTTTCTTTATTTTTAAAATTTTCTTCCTCTTTTCTCTTGTTTTTTTTTCTTGAGTTCTTTTTATAGTATCTTATTTCTTTCTAATATCATTTTAAATTGATGTCACTATCCAAATAATTCTTTAGCTAATTTTAACTCATGGAGCTATATTGACTTATTGATCTTATCTAGGTAGGACCTTGAGACAAAAGCCATTATATCTTGGTCCATTTAAATAGCAATAAGATCTATATAAGGTTTGTCTTCTATTAGTGGCAAGTAGATGTATTCATCTTATTCTTCCTCAATCAAGGATTTTTATTCAAAGAAGATTGTCTCAATCTTAATATTACTCTTTTTAAGACTCACACTCAGCTTCTCTATTTGTACTAGCAAGATATCTAAGTCTTTCTTTGAGTTGGATCTCGACATAATATCCACCACTTTGTATACTTCTTTTTCATTCTCTTCTCTCTTTTTTCTTTTTTCTTTAACTTCTCTCTAAATTTCATCTCCAAAAAATTTTGGTCCAACTTCTCTCTTGTAGATTTCAATAGTGGATGACTACAAAAAATTTTAGAACCTTCAAAATATTTCTATAGAGTTGGCATGTTGTATTGTCTCTAGTAATGCCACATCTTTGTTTCATGTTGTATTCATTGTATTTATCAATGTTGCTATTGTTATTGCTTACATTGCTATTGTTAAGGTTTTTATAATTAGTTTTGTTATTAATTTTGTTATATCTGCTCTTGATGTTATAACTTCATATACTCTTATTAAGTCTCTACTTGTAAAAGGTCTATTTGTGTTTGTTATATCTATTCAAACTTCTCTTCTACTATCTCTATTTTCTAGTGCCCTTTCAATATACTTGCTTGATGTTGATCGTGGTATTATCTTAGTATGTCTAAACCTTGTTTGAATTGGTGTTTATTTGACGTTACTCCAAGGTCTTTGATTTTTCTTTAGTGATATTATTTTCAATATGTGCCTTGAAATACCTTATGTTGGTGGCATTGGTGATGGTTTCTTTGATGTAAATCTATTTCTACTACTCCTTGTTCTCTATGCATCTTGTGGTGAGGCTCTTATTGGAATCTTTGATCTATTTATTAATGGCTTATAAATTGGCAAAAATGATATCAATGATCAAACTTTGTTGGCTTTTTCTTTTGTTTTTAGATGTTTGTTTCTTCTTTCATCTTCTTTTAATTGATACCATGAGACTAACATGCTTTCTAATACATAAGATATTAATAACAAATATGCAATAATTTTCTTGACAACTATGGCTTTTAATAATTAATATTTTTATATTTGGATAAGATAGAAAGTAAATAAGAATACCATATAAAAAAATGAGAGTTGTGTTGAAGATCAGCAAGTACTTGCTTAGTTACAACTACATAGAGATTAAACATAGTATGTTGCTAATAGTAAAAAGGCATTAAAGAATTAAAGTAAGTTATTGTGGTGGCACCAAGGGTTTAGTTGGATGAGGTAGAAATGGATGTAATATCAAAAGGATGGAAGTTGCCTCGTTGGTGAGCAAACCACCACCTATAAGTAAAGAGTTTTGGAAGTAAGAATCATCTTTTTCCATACTTCTCTTAGACTACAATCCTTGCTGATGCTAAGTGTTTGTAGCTTTTAGACTTCTTTTCTTCAATAGGTTATGGATCCACTCACATTTGCTTGAGTGTTTTTTGAAGTTCTTGAAGTGGTTTTATAAGTGTGGAGTAGATCAAGTTGTTGTTGTTGATGTTAGGCTTTGAAAGAACCTAACTTTCAGATTCAGATCTAGATCTAGATCATGGTTTGTTCTTACTTGTGGTTAAGAGCATTTTGATGTTAGTGTCTTGTTTTTCACCTTTAGACAAAATTTACATTGTACTTTTGCTGAGATAGATCCTTGGTAATCTAACTTTACGATTTCATGTCCTAAAGTTGCTGATTATGCTTAAAAGGCTTCTTATGGTGTATAGAGGTGATTTGTGAACATAAGAGAGATATTAGAGTGGAAAATCAGATTTGAGACACTTAGATAAGTCATCAAACTTGTGACAAGTCTTAGCAATGAAGTTGAGAGTATTTTTTAGAGTTAAAACACTAGTTTGTTCACAAAGAAGGATTCTGTGATTCTAAGGCAGCAAAAACTTCTTGCTGATTTTTGAGAGCATTAGGACTTCTTCTTACAATCTTTTTTTGATACAACTCTTCCTAAGACATGGCTTCAAGTGAAGGTGAAAGATTGAGAGTTATTGAGAAATTTAGAGGTGACAATTTCTACCATTGGAAGATAAAAATGGAGCTTTTGTTGGCATCTTTGGATCTTTGAGATATTGTAGATGAAAGTGAAGAGGCTCCAAGCAAAGATGCTGAT